CGTTCTTTATATCCCCGCGAAGGTGAGACTACGATCTATAACTTTCGTTTAGGTTCCGTTGGCAAATTCCGAAATTATTTTTATTATTTATTTATTAAAATGACGTGATTAAGGAATTTCTTTAAAAATTCATAACTTCTTTATCTGACGTCGGTTTTTACCAGACTTTTTTACCGTTGAAATACCATTGTCGAGACCTTCGATTCTCGTTTAGGTCATTCCGGCCAAATGTCGCTCGATCTCCGTTTCGAGTTTTTAGCCATTTGTTGCTAAGCTGGACTTGAAATATCATAACTTCAATATACGAAGTCGAACTTGGGCGTTCTTTTTACATACGATCATGGTTTGATGATATCTAAACATAGAAGAATTTAAATAGAAACTTTTTGGACATTTCATTATCAAAGTTAATTTTAGTAACTCAAAGATGTTTACAATACTTGACCTATTAGGTCATTACAAAGAGTTGAAATATCGGGTTGTCACATCGTCGAGTTCCATGATTCAGAGAACCTCGAATTCACGACCTGACTCGTCGAGTTACCCTCTAACTCACCGAGTTTCTCCTTATGACAGATCATGACTTTCCATTTGAACTCTCTGAGTCCTTCATTGGACTCGTCGAGTCCTCCCTTTATAGAATCGGGACATTTGCTCATAACTCACTGAGTCCTTCCTAGGACTCGTCGAGTTCTTCAATCTTCCAGTCCAAGAACTATATACAACTTGCTTAGTCATCTCCCAGACTCAATGAGTCCACTCATAACCAAAAAAGGTTGGGGAACCACGACCCGACTCGCCGAGTTGCATGAACAACTCGTCGAGTGCCCCAAATGCCAATTCTATACAGTCGATTTTTGTTGAGTTCAATGCATCCATTATACAGATCTGGGATCATTAGGCTAACATAACACGTAAATTTGCTAAGTTTATGTGCATGCATGGTGTTTTGAAGCTAAAACACCAAAACTAAGCCATAAAGGAGTTCTAATGCATGGGATAGGGCCACAACTCAATAAAGGCGGAAACTTTAAGCTTCTTGAGCTCCAATGTTCCCATATCTGAAGTCATCATTCTAATATGCACTCAAATCCTGAAAGTGACTTTGAAATGGCCCAAAAATGATAATATGCAAGCCCTAAAGAATATCTAAGTGATGGAAAGCCAAGGTATAAGCTTTATACATTAAACAAGCTGGAAATGCAACCCAAGCTCTAGATCTACTGCCTTCTTCTTGAATCTCCAAGCCTTTCCTTCCTTCTCCAAGCTTCAAATCACAAAAATGGCACAAAATAGCTTAAGAACACTCAAAAGTCGATTAGGGTTTCGTGAATAGGGTTTGAAGGTGATGAGGGCTGGAGTGGAGGCCATAAAAGGTGTTTAAATAGGGTGCAAACCCTGAAAATTAAGGTTTCACCTTGGCAACTCTACTCGTCGAGTCGAGGCTTTCGACTCGTCAAGTAGATGTCTTAAGTCCTGTGTCCCGTTCCCATTCTACTCGACGAGTTTGGTCCCCAACTCATCGAGTCCCTATGCAAAAATGAACAACTCAATATAAAAATACATACCAGGATCGGGGTGTTACACTCTTGGGTCAATCATAGAGTGTGGTCGGCTTAATACATAATCCCAATCCAGTCATCCAAAATGCGGGTCCCGACACTCATAAACCCATATATCCAAAATTACGATTTTCTAAACCATAATTAGGGTTTCCAACCCAATTAGGCCCAAAAGCTAAGCCTTTAGATCAATTAGGATTTCATTAGGCCCACTAGGGTTTCATAAGTCGGGCACCACCCACCACCACCTCGGGTAGTGGTGGTCAACAACGACTAACGACGGTTCTCTGCGGCAGCCACCACCTCACGGTGGTGGTTATTGTTCTAGTCCAATTATGTCCAAGCATCACAAAAGCAAACTAATCACGAGCAAAAGCACACCGCCACCCAACACGGTGGCTGGTGGCGGCAGGAGACGGCAGCCGCCACCTCACGATGGTAGTTATGAGTTTTATTGATTATACTAGCATCGATTACAATTTACAATGCAAAATCCCAAATAACATACACACACACTAAGATAAACACACATACATCCACCATTATGGTGGCCGATGGTGGTACATGATGGCAGCCACCACCTCACGGTGGTAGCGGTAGCTTTTTCGTGAACTCTGACCAAACAAAACATCATACACGACATGCATAACAACAGAAGAGACACACATGTGTGTCTTTGCTTGAAAAGCGAACCCAACACCCACCTATGGTGGGTGGCGATGGCAGTGGGCGAAACAACCGACAACAGTGGCGCTTACAATGTTTCACAGTGGCAATAAGAGGCTAGTGTCCAGCGACCGCTTTGTCTTTAATGGGTACGGGCAGCGACGGAGTCTGACCCGAATGGAACGACGTCCTAATGCAAGTTTCTCCCACAGCCACAACGGAATGGAGACATCGAAGTTATCCCGGGTTCTTGACTGTGGTGGTGGCGCTTCGATGGCGACGTAGTGGGTGGCAGAGCAACAACGAACTGATGGAGAAGAAAGGATGAAGCGAACGATAGCAGCACTAGCGACAGAAGGCAGAAAAAGATGATGATGGAGGAGGGTGGCAGCAAACGTCACGAAACCTCATCGATGGTCTTCAACGGAATGAATGCAACGGTGGTTCTCATCTTCGACGTCGGCGATGCAACAACGATATCCGGGGATCATGGTGGCAATACGACGGTTGGAGGAGTGGAGGGATAAGGGTGACGACTGGTGTGTTGCGGCTAGGGTTAGGGTTTGATAACCGGTGGTGCTAGGGTTATATACCCGATATTACGAAACTTCACCCCATGATGATAGTAATGGTCCCTCCCCCATAAGAATCTTTCCAAAAGAAGTCCATAATTTACCATTAAACCCCACCTTCTGAAATCCCTTACAAATCAAGTCTGAATTTTACCAAGCAGCCCCTCCCTCTATGAATTGTTTTCAATTGAAGTCCTTATGTTACCAAATGGCCCCTCCTCTACCAAAACCTTTTTAACTTAGGTCCCGAATTTACTCTTTAGCCCCTGCTTCCATAAATCCTTTCATATCAAGTCCATACTTACTAAACACCCCCTGTCTTCTAAAATCTTTACAAAATAAATCTCGGAACTTACACTTTTAACCCCCCAACTTCTAAAACTGTGACATTTAACTACTCAAGACCAACACCTTGCTATATAATTATTGAATTTAGGGCTACTATTCATTCATTAATTTGTTTATTTATTTATTTAATAAACAAGGTGTTACAGAACCTATGAAATAGCTAACCCAACCCAACCTATGAAATAAACAGGTTGGTGGGTTGGCGAGTCAGAAATCTCAACCCAAACCCATTTATTTTCATGTCAGGTTCATATTGGGTTACAAGTTGGGACGAAAATTGCCACCCCTAGATAGAACATATGCGAGTATAAGACACACTTTTGAATAACTCCTAACCCTTTTGTTTATAGACTATAAAGGTGGGACGAATATACCAGACCATGCTTAAGTTTTTTTTTTTAGAATGGCGACAATATATTAAAGAAAAAACAAAACTAGCAAGATGCTAGAACAAGGAATTACAAGAAACAATTTGGCAAATGTGAGAAACACTATTGATGCCAATCAATGTTCTCAAAAATAGACCTATTCCTAATCCAATTAAAAGTGAAGCTTTGAATGTTATCCACAATCTTTAAGGGGCTTACTCTAACTTTCTTGAAAACGAGCTAATTTCTAGCCTTCCATATAAGCTACAGAGACCATCGAAAGCCTAAGGAGAGAACACCTTTTGTTACGAAGAGGAGAGTCGAGCAGCAAGAGCAGATCACTTATATTGACCGAAATATAGGGAAAGATAGACGACCACGAAACCAACCAATTCCAAATTACTTTAGCGAAGTTACATCCAAAGAAAACGTGATCGACATAGTCAAATATCCATATTGCAGAAACAACATAAATTCGAAGCAACCTGCACTCCCATCCTAATAAGATTCGAAGAAAGAGGAATCTTGTTCTTAAGCAACCGCCAAAACAAACAGTTAACTTTTAACGGGATCCACTGGACCTAAGCAAAACTCGAATAAGTAACACACAGATCCATATCAGCCACCACACTCCTCAAAGACTTATGCTTAAGTATGGGGGCATAAAAACACGAGTAACACACAAATCAGTAACACATAGATCAATGTCAACCACCAAACTCCTCAAAGACTTATGCTTAAGTATGGGGACGTAAAAATATCAATCTTCAAAACGCTTAACATCATGACTATCTTCACATCAATATTCATCACCATCTTTACAAAAGCCATACAATCTTCGTATCATAAAAAACACATCATTACATGTATAAAAACATTTAAAAATGTATAAAAAAACGTATATTTACATGTATTAAAAACGTTTTTAAAGTTTTTTTTTTTGATTTAAAGATTTTATATATGTATTTAATAATACATGTAAATATGTTTAAATGAGAAAGACTTTAAAAACGTTTCTTAAGATGTAAAAACATATAAAAATGTTTTTCATATATATTTTGGATTAATTTACGAAATAATTATAATATATTGGTTTTTGCAGATCATATTATTTTTTTTTAATTATTTTTTGTATGTACACAAGCGTCTAATTAATTTGTTACGGAATGGACCGGAAAAATATCAAAATGCAACATTTTAATGGTTTTTAAAATTTTTATATAAAAAAAAATTATTGAAAAATACTTGGTAAACCAGCCCAAAATATGATTTCGCTTTTATTTATAAATTTCCAAAACCAAATTAATTTATATTCATTCGGCCCTCTTCGTCCTTTATCGTTCCCAATCCATATATCTCTAGTGTCTACGACGATAACCTAACCTAACTCATCGTCTATCTATCGTCTTCTCGCGAACGCCGAAAACCATACCTATTCTCCATCCATTCGCAGAGCAATAATGGTGTGCATACGCAAAGCAACGATGGATGACCTGTTTGCAATGCAGGCCTGCAACCTCTTCTGTCTCCCTGAGAACTACCAAATGAAATACTACTTCTATCACATCCTCTCTTGGCCCCAGCTCCTCCACGTCGCCGAGGATTACGGCGGAAAGATCGTTGGATACGTGCTTGCCAAGATGGAAGAAGAGACGACGGAGTGTCACGGCCACATCACTTCTCTCGCCGTTCTCCGTACGCACCGTAAGTTAGGGCTTGCGACAAAGCTCATGACCGCTTCACAGAACGCCATGGAACAGGTTCGTTTTTTCAAATTCAGATTTAATTTCTTCTTTGTGTCAATTACAATAAATTCGATCATACTTCTATCTTGTTTCACTTTAGGTTTTATACGTAGGGCTTCTGTACATACATAGGTGTTCAACTAGCATCCTATTTGATTGCATCTGTTAGTAAAACTGTCTTCTAGATTCCTGTAGATTCCTGTGAGCTCTAAATCAACGAATCATGTTATTTTTTGTTTTGGCATTTATACAATTGAACATTTCTTCCATCTGAACTCTGAAGATCAAATAACAGAAGAAACGACACATCATGTATTATATTTATATCTGTAGTGAAATTTAGTGCTTTTTACAAGTATAGTATTATACTTTGATTATGCTTTCTGGAATCGAGTTACGTTTTCTTGTGTACACACAGGTATCTATAATCGTATTATATTGTGTTGTGAATACTAGGTGTTTGGTGCGGAGTATGTGTCACTGCACGTGAGGAAGAGTAACCGTGCAGCGTTCCATTTGTACACAGAGACACTTGGATACCAGATCCATGACATAGAGGCAAAGTATTATGCAGATGGAGAGGATGCATATGATATGAGGAAGCAGTTGAAGGGGAAGAATCAACATCAACATCAACATCAGCATCAGCACCATCATCACCACCATCATGCTGGTGGTTGTTGCTCTGGAGATGCAAAAGCTGAATGAAGAAGGAAGGAAGGTATGATTTAGTTGTAAAAGGATGTTTGTCATCATTGCAGTCACTTGTTTCTGTACACTTGGTATTTAAATTTGAGGCAGGCAAGCTGTCCAGGAACTTTATGCTAATGTGCATTTTTTATTGTTAGTGTTGGTTTGGTGCCATATGTTTTTCAATAAAAAACCTGATAATGTTGTGGTTTCTTGCTGAAACTGAGTCCTTTACTAATATGTTTACTGGTGTTGTGTTTAACACCATTCTATCAACTCACTCATCAGTTCATCCATCAATCCATACGATCCATCAATATGGCCCATCTAATTTGTCTGTTTGATCCAATTGATCCACCCGCCTAATCGGTCAATCAGCCTATCCAGTTGTCCATTCTCCAAACAATAATTCATTCATCCAATTTATGCATTTGACTAAGCAACTATGGATCCATCTAAACTGAATGTTCCATGTAATCCATTCAATAGTTTGATCACTCTCCACCCAAGCCATATATATCGAATCCATCAAATACATCTATTGAATCCACACATCTCAAAAATCAGGCCAATCCATCAAATTAGGTTATGTTTTGCGTACTAGCTGAAAAGTTAGCTGTTATATAAAAAGCTAGTTGGTAGCTGAAAGCTGATAAAAAATAATGTTTGGTAAAGCTAACTAAAAAACTAGTTGAAAGATATAAAAACGACATAAAATGACATTTAAAAGAGTGTTTATATAATTAATTAAGGGATATATTTAAAAATATTTTTAAAAAACTCATAAAAAGCTATTATAAGTAGCTTTTTAAAAAGTTAGCTAATAAGTTATATTTCAACTTGCCAAACATAAAAACTTAAAAAATATCGAAAAATAAACTAGTTTATCAGCTAGTTGTGGCGTGCAAAACCCTTAGAAAAATAAAATAAATGGATTCGGTTGATGAATGATATTGATGTACGGGGTGGACAAACACATGGATGGAGAAATTGATTGATCTGGGTCGATGGACGACTTAGATAAATAAAATGAATTAACTTGTTTGATGGATTAAATAGATAGATCGATAAGATACATCAATTATAGATGATTTGATGATGGATGAATCAAATTGATCAATTTGATGGATACAATAGATGGATGGATTATATGGTTGGATCAATTGAACTGATAAATGATTCATCTATTAGACGAATATGATGGCGATTAGATACAATATATGGATGGACCGAATGTAAGTATATATATGAGATAAATAGATCAATCAGTAATCACAATTTTTTAATTTTTGTCTTATTGAGATAAAAAAGTTACGAAGTTTGTCCTTTGTCCCACCTTTTTTAAAGGGACAAAAAAGTTATTGTGTTTGTGCCATTAACATGTGTGTTGATTGTCATTACAACCTCATGTTGTCATTAAAATATTACGTCGTGGGATAACTTGCATGTAAAATAATTTGTTCTAAGATGTAAAATCATTGTGCAACAAGCAGTAGAAACCACCCCTTGGTGATTTGGTAACAAAATCATGAACATGAAAAGGTTGTAAGAATTTGACATTTCCACTAAAATCAAAACATACAAGTATTATACCCAAGTGACATTGGCTCAAATCCTCATGTAATATAATCTGGAAGTGTTGTTATGGTTAGCAGCAGCTAAGCATCAAAGGGCCTAGTAGAATGAATGATATAGTAACATGAACATCCATAAGGCTTTGCTTCCTAATCTCTGGTTTTAGCTTTGAGAATCACAGAACTGAGAGTAATCGCATTGGCATGGTCCTTTTCTCACCTACACAAACAAACATTTCTACTAACATCCAACAACAATATCATGATCCCGTTTCAAATCTACCATGAAAATGAGAAGAAGGGTGTTCAAGTCTTTTGCACATGTCAAATGGATAGTTATAGTTGACATACCTTGCGAAATGTGAAGGATACTCTTCTTGAACCCCTTCTAATCACGGTATCCTTCACCTTGTCAACCTACCAAGGAAAATATCCAACAATTAAGATTCTCAACCTACTTAATGACTATAACACACCACAAAATTTAAAGTTACATAGTAGAATCATATCACAAGAATATGCAACTTAATAAATAAAACTGAAATCTTGCAAGATGTACCTTATGGTGCGGAATATAATGTTGCCATGCATATCTTCCCTCTCCAGAAAGCAACAACATTGATCGAGGAGGCAGATAAATTGCCCTTCTTCTAGAATTTGACCTTTCCTTATCTCTATCACCATCATCAGACCCTCTAAACTCCATAATGCAAGGCCCTGATAAAGAAAGGCTGTAAATTGAGCCCTCAAATGCTGAATGGGTATCTATATGTGGGGATAAACCCACACCCATTGGGTATTCATTTACCTGTAATTTAAAACTTTATAAATCATTACAAAAAATGGGAACACAACACAAGGGTTTCATAACAGTTATTTACTTATTATATAAAAAATACCGTTAACTGGTCTAATGATACATCTGCAGCTTCATCAAGCTTCTTAAAGACAGGAATTTTTTCAAGTATACAATCAACAAATGATGGAAGGTTGCCCAATCGATGTTGTGTATTAACATTCCTTATCTACACCAGTAAAAATTATAAACATTATTTCATGACAACTTTCAAGCAATTAAAGATTATCCAATAAATATTTGTACAACTCACATCATAACAAAACTCATAACCATAGTGTTGAACCCTTCTCTTTGCAAGACTATGCCAAGGCCTCGCATCAACAGCAGCAAGCAATTGCTGAAATTGTCAAAAATAAATGAAAGTAGGCTTTATTTTTTGCATTTAGCCCTGTATTTATATATACACATAGATACACACAAAGTAAGGATCCTTCACCTCCTCTTCTTGAGCTGAAACAAAGTCATGAATCAAGTAGATGCCAGGAATATTCAACTCTGATGCTTCTAAACACACCTCAACTGAATCACTAGCCACAATCTATCAAAAAAATTGGCAATCTTTAAGATCCATTTATAATACATTTGTTGGAAATGGAATTATGAAAACATTAATTGTTAATACCTGCAATTGTGGTCTTTGCACAGAGTAGCGGATGTGAAGAGAACGACCTCCAAGATCAGGACATGGACACCTGTCCAATGCTTTAAGTGCTGATTGGGCAGAATTTTCATCATAATAAGAGACAATAACACGAGAGCCACTCTCATCAGCAGGGTATACTCCTTTTACTGTTCCAAATTTACTGAATGCTGATGTGATAGAATCTATAGTAAGTCCAACAGCTGGACCACAGTTGGCAACATAAAGGTTACAACATAATTCATCATCATGTCCCTTGGGACGTGTAAATTTTGGCAACCCCATTAATCTGCAAATGGTTAAGAACGTAACTCAGTTTTGAGAATTCTAATAGAATTGTTTTCTTTTTTGTAGGAAAACAATGCAGTCTGTTTTTCTTCCTTGAATAGATTCCATATTCTCGAATTTACAAAGATCAAGTATACAAGTAATTACGTTTAGTAAACTCGGGGGCATGGATTTACTTTAGACAAGATTGTAGAATTGAAGGTGTTAGCACAATGCATCAGTACAAAAGTATTTCCAAATTTTATGGTCATAAGACTGGAACCTAATGATCTGAAGGAGAAATAGAAAACAGGTCGGGATAAGGGTCAATGCTAATGGAACCACTATCTCCCCCTACGGATTGATTTTTCAATCAAGTCAGAAAAAAAATAATAATACAGTAATACAACAAATGGGAAACGCGAAGAAACAAACAAGGTGAAGAAAATCACTGAATGGAAGCAAATAAGACAGGATTCCAGTTTGAGATTAAATTAGTTCTTAAAAGTCACCTATTAATTCAAAATCGATTAGCTTGTGAGAGAATCACAAACCTGCAGGAGCTTGCGTTATCAAAAACGAAAAATTGTGGTCGGAGCTCAAAAATTTAGAACCTTCTCGGCGTTAAAACATGAGGCAGCTGCTCCTCCTCCGTTCTTCCTCCCACCGGCGATATCTGTATGCAGGTAATCTCTTTTTGGGCCTTCCGATGAGATAGTCAGTTGATACTTCCAATTTCATGATTCTTTCAAGTTTCAAGTTTCATCGATGGGAGTACGTTGGGCTAAAATCGTAGTCTTGGGCCTAGAGCCAGGTGGATAAAACCCGGATTATTTTATCCGGATCCGATAAAATTGGAAATTTTCCATTTCGGATTCGGATAATCCCGATCCAAAATTTTTGGTTGGTAATTATCAAATCTGAATAATAAGGCGGATCAATCTATCCAGGTTTTCTGGAAATTTTCGGTTTTTGAAATCGGTTTGCTGACTGGTTCAGGTCCAGTTTAAATGAGTTTTGATTCTTTTTTTTTTTTTTTTTCCATTACAATAAGTGAAACAAATGCATACTTTTTATAGGCGAGCTTTGTTCTTATTTTTTACTATATCCCCACATTCTTATTGTATCTCTTCTTAAAGTAGTATATAAGACTTGGTTAATGATAATGTGGTTTAAGTGTCGTTTACGAGCTTAATGGAACTTAAGTTGTTAAACTTCATCATCATTTCTTGTAACCACTCGTTGTCATATGTCCATGTTGTGTTTTGCTTTTGAAATATTTCCTTGACTAGGATCTATTGTGGATTTAAGTTCCATAACCATTTTTATTCTTTTATTTTAAAGGCATATCCGATCCAAAATATGATTTGGATTTTGAAGCTATTTCTTATTCATTTTAAGGCATAAAATGAATAAATTTGCTCAATTGTCGTTGTTAATCTTCCATACACACAGGTAACCATGTTTCTACATAAGTCAAAGAGTATATATGGTTAAATGCTTATTTTCTTAATTTATGCAACAAAATGATTTTTTAGACGAAATGGGGTTAATTTTATTTATGCAATAATTTCTATTCATTTCATTGGTAGAGAGACAAGATGGAGGTTCTTGATTCTTACAAAGTACAAGTCTGTACTTCAGTATTAAATAAAGCATATACATGGCATAATTTACAAAACTGATATTAATTATGGTGACATTTTGGGGGGTGTAAAACAAGCCTCTTTTCCCAAACAACATCGTGGGCTTGGAATAGGTGTTGCTGCAACAGAATTGGTATTTGATTGATCATCACTTAATAACGATGATGCATACGAAGCTTTTTCAGCTTTTAACAAACTGAATTTCCCCTGTGGCTGTATCTGTATGTTGTTAATATTATCCATCAGTGTCAGTGTGTGCCTTGCACTTATACCGTAAACATTTCCAGAAGTACCTGACACATTTTTTATCCCTGGAACTGGAAGGGCATTTGTTGCCATTAATGGAGAATTGGGATCCATCAATACATCTTGTTGAGCAATATCTCCGATTCTAGTCAGTATGTTGAATGCCAAGTTTCCAAGAACACGAGAATATGCTTCCAAAATCGCATGTCCAATATCCTGTATCCGTTTCACGAGACACAATTTTTATTTTAGTCTAATCGACAACTTGTCCTAAAAGTAAAAGGGGAGTTAATTAATTAATTAATCAGCTTTGCTCACCTTGCCATATTGGATTTTCATGACATCAAGAAATGTTTGAGGAAGGTTAGGGTATTTGATTCTGATTTGCTGCAAAAGAACTTCAGCTCGGTTTATCAAGAACTCCATCTTATCAAGCTCCATTGATGGATCCTTTAAGGACCATGATGTTCTTGCTCTTGCTGGTGATTTTGCAACACTGGTTTGTTCCAAGATTTTTTCTTTCCAAGCATATATCGCTGTTTCTAGTCTGTTAATAGTCTCAAGAGCAGCCTGTTCAGATTTTAAGTTGAGCAACTTCAGCATCCCGATGGCTGAAGAAGAGATTGTATTCAGTGTTTTATAAAGATCATCACCAAGACTCGCCTTTCCAGACTGTAACATATGTAAATCAACAAACAAAATAATTAGGATTTACCACTATCACTGTCACAGTCACAGTCATAGTCATCATAGTCAGTGGGATCCAGTCCCACAGTCACAACATAGTGTTGTTATGTTTTTGTTACCTTGGGAAGTGCATCTCCAATGATTTTTGGAATAGGCATTTCGATTAAGATGGTTTCGTTTATAGATTTGGCAGCTTTGAAAATTTGGTGGACTAATTTCGCCTGATTGAGAAGCTTCTTCCTTTCACCATCGGAGAGCCCATTTTCGGGTACTTGTGGGACAGGAAGCCACCCTCTGTTGTTCCTTTTGTCTGTTTGGAGATGGACACCTCCTTCCTCATACCAAAATTCTGAATGCTTCATTGAGTCTAAAGTTTCCTGTCATATGTTTTCAATTCAATGATGGATTGGGATTATGTCATTCGAATCTAATCATGTAATGGAAGAGAGCATGAGGACATACAAGAAGCATGGAGTCTAACTTCCGTAGTGCTGGGAGATTCATGTGAATGTCCCCACGAGCTTTTGGTCTCATTATCTGCTTTGATTCAATGTCAAATAGAATACGTACAAAACCTGTTTATTAAATTGAAAGTTGAAAATTTTACTATTAATTAAGGAATGCATGCCTCTAGAGTCCGGCCATTGGCACCATATTGCTTAGCGGGAACCAACTCAACCATATAGTTAGTAGGTGCAAGCAACCACTCCATTTCTCTTCTCCACTTGCTCTTTCTCTCTTCTCCCAATGCCTCTAGTTTCCATAGCTCCCCAAATACACTTCCTGTCATTGTTAATTGGTTGCTATTTTTTTTAAGGAAAAAGTTCAATTTCACCAACCAAATGTATTTTCGGTGCACCAAACATCCTTCAAACAATTTTTTGTGTTATTTATACTATTATCACCTGCAATTTTCGACGCTTATAATACTTATACGGCGTTCCAAAATGGTCGCTGAACTTTTGTTTATAGACCAATGTCACTTTTGTTTTTATACCGTAAGTTCTTGCGCTTTTTATTTATTATTAACAATAAATATACACACACAAAAAAAAAAACGATCAATTTTTTGTTTTTGGATGAAGAAACATCTCTGATTTGATTTGCGTTTCGATATTTGCTTTGTTTAGTGAATGTATGTGTGTAAAACAGTATAAAAAGCATTAAAAATTATAGTATAAAAGATAACTTTTTACAGGACCATAGGTGAACAAATAAAAGTTTATTGACCATTTTGGAACGCTATATAATTATTAAAACCATTCAACTATAAGACCCGATCATAATAGAATAAATAGTTCAAAAAGAGGAAAGTTTATGTGTTGACATTCAAAATTTCCCTTTTTTTTTATTATCAAAATCTGTTGCTAATTCCTTAGAGGTTGCCTGATATTTGTAGTTGTGTTATAAGAGACTAAGAGAGGCAACAATGTACCAGCGAGTTTTGTTATGGAATTGGACAGAGCCAAAGCGGAGGAATGACCCTTTCGCCCTCCGGTGGTATCTTCACCCAACAAGAGCTTTGCGAATTTTTCTTTCATTATTTCCACATCAGAGATTTGTGGTTTTATTGACAGTTTTTCTTTTGTGACACTTTCTGAGTACTCCCATTCATCTGGTTGTTGTTCATGTTCATGTTCATGTTCATCCCTTTTCATGATTGTCCATTGAGAAGAAAAGGATCCTCCTGAAGCATTGTTGCTAGAAGAACAACTTGAATCATCCTCTTCATCAAGAGAGTCAATAGTTGGACATTCATCTCCTCTACTTGTAACACTTTCATCCTCGCATGAGTTAGCATTAAGAATGCAGCTTTCAAGTCCATTGTATGTCATAATTCCTGAAACATTTTAATTTTGAATTCAAATTTACATAAAAATGTTTGAAAGTTGTTGTTTATGGTTGATTTTGGGAAGGGCATCGACTATGAATTATGGTTTTAGTGTAACGAAATTGATTTAATTAAGTCTTAGAGTTTGATGTAGAACATGGGGATTCTACAAGATAAGAGTATATTACAAGAGGGTAGGTGACACCAGTGATACTGTTACTAACTATCAAATAATGCAGATTCTTCCGTGACAACAAGCACATGCTGCAAGTGTTGTAGCTGCATTTAAAAACTGTCTCTAGTTTTCATATAGAACGCACTATAGGATTTTTTGTTTTTTTATGTAAGGAAATAAATGGCAAAGTTGCAATTTAGGCAAAATACCACTAGAGTCGTGACATAAAAAATAATTCCTCATATGAAGATAGATAGATAGATGACAATTTTTTGACACTTATTACATTTTTGTGGGCCCGCATAAATGAATTTTATATACATAAATAAATATACAACTTTTGGGTCGACCTTGAGTACCACTACTAATGTACAACTTCTTTTTCTTCTTCTTCTTCTTTCTCTTTTGGTTCTAGTGTTATTTTCCCCTTTTTATGGTTATCCACAGTTTCAAAAGGTATATTTAAAAGATAGAAACAAATCTACAATAATATTTTTTAGGGTAGCTACTGTTATATTTTTTCAATTGTAATACTAAAATATGGTACCTTTTTACTATAAAAAGCAAAATTTCAACAACCAAATACCAAGTAAAGTCAACCGTTATTTGATGCAAGAAGAAGGGTTGTAACTTGTATCCTAGGACAACCATATAACACATTGTGCACATTGTATTATATTTATAGAGTTATTAATGTTTTCTTTTGATATAATTTGAATGAATTATATTTTGCTTTTAAGAAAAGTTAATGGAAAAGGAAAAATGAAATTATGAAAGGTAACATGGAGAGAATCAGAAACCGGAGATGAACAAAACATTTTTTACGACTTTTCAAAAGCTAGAAAATGACTATTGTGTCCCCACCACCACCACTTAGGTATCTTGTAGTTATTTCTTTTCTGGGTGTGGGTGTAGTACAACTAGTTACATAAATAAGAAGTCAAAAAATTAAGGACCACTATCTCCATGTCGGTCGATAAATAAATATTTGGTAAACAATAGCCATGCAATTTTCATGGCAATTTCATCGTCACTTTCGTATTCGAATTTCTTTAGCTTTTTCATCCCAATTACTAACGCAATATTTGGTATGTATAAGTTAATATATTTTTCGAGATTATTTGAATTTAGTGTTTAATAAGCTTATGAAAATAGGTTATTGTAGATTACATACTAATTTATAAGCTAGTTTTTTGATAAGTTATTTTCAATAAATTATTGATAAATAAACAAAATTTAGGTTTTTAGCTAACGTGACAAACACAACTAATTTTTCGGGATAAGTAGTAAAGCAAAACTTATGACCAATGTTTTGGTCTTGATTTAAAAAAGTAGTCATCTTTTCATATACATAAAGAACGTTATTTTTTTTTATTTTTATTTTTTTATTTTAGAAATTATGACGTAACCTACAAGTCACACACTCATTTTCCCCCTAAAATCAGGCAAAATGTACGTTTATATTTTAAATACAATTGGATTATGTACTCAAGTAACAAAAATGCAATAGATGACATTTATTTATTTATTTACCTCTACTCATTTGTAGTGAGTTCTCAAGTACTATCATAAAAGAAAAGTGTGCAATTTTCATTAACGAATTTCAAATATTTCTCTAAGCATTGTGAAAATAATTTGTGGCACAAACAATAATGGACGACGTATGGGACTTCACAAAACATATTAGTTGTTGCTTTCAACAATGTTTGATAGTAGTTAAGTGGGTAGAAGAATCAACATCCACACACTATTTACAAAGAAGACATGACAAGACAACATGCCGCTAGTTTCTAGGCACTAGTTGACACTTGAATCACGGCAATTATTTCCAAATTTCTAACAATTTTTAAAATTATAAACATCCAAGTTTTCACTGATAAAGTTTGATTTTTATGAAAAACTAAATATTCTTATGTATATAAAAGACTAGATAGAATTATATACCATGTATATAAGAAATCCAAAAGCAGACAAATTAATATCATCGAAAAAGGTTTTTCACTTGACTTGTTAAAATTTCAGGTTTGAATTGTATATCTTATTATCCACAATTTAGAGGGTGTTTAAGATTTTTTTTTGAACATTTGAAAGAACTTTTAGGGAAAAAACTTATTGATTTATGATGTGTGAAAATATGTTTTTTTTTTTTTTTTTTTAATGTTTGAGTTAACTTTTGTGATATGAAAAATCAATAAATCGATAAATTGTTTTTAAAAAGTATTTGTTTAACTTATACATATTTTAAGGGTATTTGTCTTTTACAACATAAATAGTTATAAAGAGTTTTGCCAAATTATACATCCAAACTTATTGAAATGTTATTTTTGAAGGATTGATGACAATATATTTGAAGTCTTTTTCATATTTGTTAAAACATTTTTTTTTTTTTTGACTTTTTGATTTTTTAAAAAAAAAAACATAAGTCAATAAATTGATTTTTAATGAAATCCCAAACATCCTTCTATTCTATCTACTTTAATCGGCAAGGATGGATGTCATATTCCACACAAGCCATATGTTTTTTTTTTTTTTTTGGATTAACGATTGATTTTTTTTTTTCAGATTTTGTTTTTCTTTTAAAAACCAACTTTAAGTTTTTTTCCGTAATTAATTGAAAATGTTACATTTTATAGAATTCAAAGTTTATATATAGTTGCTGGGTTGAAAAAAATAACAAATTCTCACTGGTTACATCTGGAAAAAAGAAAAAAAATTCTAGTAGTTGAAAACCTAAAAAACACTGTAACATTGGATAACAACTAACAATATTTGAAACCCAATAAAAAGCCCAATTGGTTCAACTCATTAAAAATACAAATACTTATTAAAACTTTGAAAAACAGAAACCAAAACCAATGAATTTTATCAATTAGATGCAAAAGAAATTAAGGCATATGATATGCGTGTGTGCGTGAAAAAAAAAAGAAAAAAAAAAAAAAAAAAAAAGAGAGAGAGAATCTACCGTTTGGTGTTTGATCAAAATCGATGCTATTGCTGATTTCTCTGTTCAACGTACAACAAGCGAGTCTTCTCCTCAATAACACCATCTTTAATGGACTATTATCTATATTTAAATTTAATGTATGTGCCCTCAAAGCTTTTCAGATGCTTTTTTCGGCGGGGAATACAAAAACTAGGAACCAAGGTCCTGTATCACAACAAAAATCCATTAAAAAAATAAATAATAAAGTTATGATTCTCATAGGTATTTCCATTCCTCATTGTCGACTTATTTTGGATTTTTGCACAAACAGAAATCTATCGCAACAAATTTATACTAAAAGATTTAAACATTCCTCTTGGTGTAAGAATTGAATGGCAACTAGATCACGATTGTTTACATTTGGTTACGTAGCAAATGTTTAAAAAAGATTATGATTGAACATTATTTATGATTGTTTAACAATGAAACATGAAACATTATTGCAGTTGGTCACAGTTGGAACATTAATGTTGCCTATCATATCATAATAAAAAAGACTTTTGAAAAGCTACATATTCCACAATATTTGTTTTATGCTAGATGAAAAAAATGATAGTATTACTTACACAGATGGACTTAATGAGGTAGGTGCTTTGAATGTACTAACCAATTCCCTACTTTTAATTTGAAGGGTTATCAACCTTAAAATGACACTGACATTGTAACAAACTAAGAAAGAAAACGTTACCAAATACCAAATGCCAATGGTGTATTTAATCAAAATAATTACAGACAAAAAATGACAAATAACTGATAACAAAGGTTAGCTAAATGTCAATTTAGAAAATGACACATACCAAAAATGTATCTACACGAATCTCCTTCATAAAAATCAAAATAACCGAGGACTCGTTGGGTGATATGTTTTAAAAAGTATAAAATCACCTTTGATCTTCTTCTGGTTTCATATAATCTAACTTTTTTTTTGTCGAAGAAAAAACTAACGTTTGAAAAATTCTTTATTTAAGGTAAAGAACTTTCTTAGGTGGTTATCTTAAATTAGAAAATGATAAAAGTTTGTTACCTTTCTATGCAGTTACCTTTTTCACTAAATTTTATATATGCCTGTTATAAATAAGATATATATATTTTTGGTAATCAGTTTTAGCGGTGTAGACATAACAGAAGTTCTCTAATGTCTTTATATTTTTATTTTTTTATTATCGAAATGGTTCGATGATGTGCTTTAATTTTATTATTTATCATTTAAAATGTATTATAAATAAATAAAAATATGGTTCATTGTTAAATACTTAAATATAAGCTTTATAATAAAATTTAATAAGATAATATATTTGTGATGTTAGAAACCAGACGTGTCCACATAGAAACTCAGATATCTGTTATGATGTAAGAATTAATATGATAATAATCATTTCGTCGTATTGTCTCCATCACAAAGGAAGATCAATTTTCGTTTTCTGAGAGTACAAACTTTATAGTTTCATAAGTGAAGTTGGCATTTTATTTAATTTATTTATTTATTTGGTGTTCTTTATTGTTATTTTTCTATAAGATAAACAAAATTTTTAACGCTGATCCTTCTTTACATAATTACACAATGACTCTCTCATAAAAGTAAGAATAACGTTTTTTATGATGATCCTAGCTACCACATGTTATATAAAAATAAAGTTACCACATATATATCATGTAGTATGATGCATAGTAGGCATAAATAATATAATTCATTCCCGATCAACCAACCAATATTCTGAAAACAACTTTTGCTTAAATATTATTCAAAATTTTAACTTATATATATTAATAGATGTTATCATGTTAATTTATTTAAGTTTTTATAATCACATAGGAACAGCTAAGATAACTTTGAAAAAAGAAAAAGAAATGTTTTATTTTTAGTAATTACACGCAAAATTGAAGATCGCATTGCTGATTGCACACATCAAAGTGATTACCAAAATTTCAGAATTTTGTATTTCAAATCTGATCGGATTTCGAATCAATCGTTCACAGAAAAGAGAACAGATTTAGCAATAAAGGGAGAGGAATATACCTTCTGGATCAGAGCATTTGATTGATTAATCTCTTCTTCATGAGTTATATGACTGCAACGAGACATGCATCGAATTGCCATCGCCATTAATGAAGAATCTAAAGCGAGAAAGAAGGAAGAAGGTCAAATTGGTAGGTAAACTGCTGCAATGCTCATTTAATTGGAATCCACCATCTATGAGTGATGCTGTTACTGTGTGTGTCAGTGTGTGTGTGTGTAAGAGCAAATGCAACGGTAAAGAAGAAAGAGAGAAATTTCGTTTTATTTTATAATGATGGGGAGTATGGGATCCAGTGGAGCAGTAGTTGGTTTGTTCCCTCTCCAATTTAGATATGTGGTGGATAGTCCGAGTAACTAAACCGGTAATACGGGTGGCAATCACATTGGTTCTCACGTCTCGGGTTGGGCCGTTAGAAAACATGGCCCAGATACAATATGTATGATTAGATTTTTCATATGGTTCAACACTAATCGTGTTTATTAAATACGTACATAATTCGACTAATCCATTTAACTATATTGGTTTACGAGTAATAATCGTGCTCATATGTTATAATCTTGTTGGGGTTTCTGTCAATAAAGGGATACATATGAACTTCTTGACTGATCCGTTGGAAAGAAGATTAACGTTTAGACCAACCAACATTTTAGTTTTTGGATGAACATGAGGGAAAAGATCAACGTTTAGACCAACCAACATTTTCGTTTTTGGATGAACATGAGGGAAACACGCATGTGTAGATCTAACAGGAGTTTCCCCCTCTTGTGGGCTTGGGAAGTGGGGTTTTCAGTATGAGGCGGTTTATTTTAAAAATTGTTTAATTCAAAGTGATTAAATATAAGAAAACGTGCATGAAAAATCAATATGCGTTTATATTTTTCGCGTCTGATACTTTTGGTTTTCTTGCGTCAGATGATGTGAAGCTTCTTAATAGAGTTTAACAGGTCATGCATAATATTGTTATGACCCCTACATCTATAAATGTGATTTTCAAAAGAATTAGTTTGACCTTCCAAAAAGGATAAGCAACGCAACTTATTGTTCGTTTACCCGTTATGCTTATGTAAAACTTCTATTATATTGAATGAATGATTTTGTTAAATAAAAATTAAGTTCACATACGATAATCGGATTTGTAGGACACCGTCATATATGAGATTATATACATCACTTTCATTCAATTTTTTAAACATATTTCATACCATTTATAAAATTATTTGTCTTTTTTAATCAATAAAGCTTACATTCATAAGAAAATTTTTTGGTAGAAGATCTTATATTAAAGAATAGTCAAACATAATTACTATCAAATCTATATCATATCATACATACTTATAAAGCTAATATTTTTTGTAATTATAATTTGAAACTCCCATGACTTTTCAATTTCTTTATAATAATAATTATAATTTGGTAATTAGGTTAAATAAATATAAAATCTAAAGTGTATTCATATATAAACTAAATTTCAATACTAGAATAATATCTTTAATTCTACTTAATTTTTAATATATTATTGGATGTAAACCATTATCATTTTAAAGGTATAATTTTTGAACAATTTGTATAAAATACTTAAATTATCAATTAAAATATAACATTATAGGCTTAACTTAAATATAAATTTTATTTAACTTAAACAACCCAAAGATTATTTTATAAATAGTTAAAAGTGAAAAATTGTAGTGTCTTTCTAATAATGATTGTAAGTTGGTTAATAAGGTTAAATAAATATCAAACCTAAAGTGTAATCACAAATAGACTAAATTTCAATTTTAAAATAATATCTTTACTTCTATTTATACAGTTATGTCTTTAAATTTTAACATATTATACTTAATTTATTAGATTTAAAATGTTATTGCATGTAAACAATTATTAGTTTAAAGCTACAATTTTTGAACAGTTTGGATAAAATACTTAAATTGTTAATTTAAATATAATATTACAGTGTCAACTTAAATATAAAGTTCAGTTCCACTAAAAACCCTAATAATAGTTTGTAAATGGTTAAAAGTGATAAATTATAGTGATAAATGCAAAGACTAAATTGTAATATCAGTTTAACTAAAATATTTCCTAAATATATTTATATAATCGTTAAAATTTTTCAAATAAGTAGCTTAAAATAACTTATAATAACAATAGTTAAAAACAACTCTATATAAATGATTATATTGTTAACTTTAAAATAAAAAACAATGTTTGATGTTTTAAATAATTATAATGATAGAAATTAAAACATTAAGCAAATAAATTTTAAAAAATTAATTAATAATAAAAACAACTATAAATAACATCAAATCATATATTATATTTAATTTTATTCATGTGTAACTAACGGGTAGAACTCATTCAAACGATTGAGATGATGAAGTTATAATAAATGTATATATTATCATATAATTCAAAATAATAAATATATTATATCAATTTAGTTTATACAAATTATTATATCAAATTTAACAAAAACGTTATTTTTATATTTAAAAAATCATATATTTGTAAAGACTTCAATTATATAGGTGTTTTTGCGCAACGCGTGGGCATTCGCCTAGTATCTTATAAAGATAGCAATTTTCCTTGAACCTCATGCATTTGAAACTCCCATGCATTTTTCATTTCACCACATTAATTTCAAACTCTCATGACTTTTTAATTTCTTTCTAATAATAATTATAAGTTGGTTAATAAGGTTAAATAAATATCAAACCTAAATTTTAATCATATATAAACTAAATTCCAATATTAAAATAATATACTTACTTCTACTTATAAAGTTATGTTTTTAACTTTTAATATATATACTTAATTTATTAATTTTAATATATTGTTGGATGTAAATGATTATCATTTTAAAGATACAATTTTGGAATAATTTGTATAAAATAGTTAAACTATTAATTAAATATAACATTACAGGGTCAACTTAAATATAAATTTTAGTTTACCTTGAACAACCCAAAAAATATTTTGTAAATAGTTAAAAGTGATAACTTGTAGTGTCTTTTTAATAATGATTATAAGTTGGTTAATAAGGTTAAAT